GAGCCCAGCTCTTGTCTTATTAAATGATCCTCTTATAAAACTCTGATTCATCACTTTTTCGGTGAATTCAAAAAAATATTAACGATCGGAAAGAGAATGACATTAATATAAGAGAACAAGTGCAAGAATATGTAAATAATAATAATAATAATAAACTAGGGATACAAATAATCATTTCCGGGCTAATAAGCCGAAAAATGAGATAACTAAATAAGCCGCCCATTTTAACAAATTAAAGTTAAAAGAAGAAGGTCTAAGTAAAAAATACAGTAAAGAAAAAGCATGTCTATCAAACATCTACATACATATAACCTGTCCCATTCTTTCCGAGCGAAAGTGAACGAATGATTTGTGAAGTATTTTTGAGAATGAATATGTCAATTTTTCCGAGGATTGTGTTAATATGAATGGAAAAGGATAATTTTTATAACTTTTTCTTTCCCGGTTTTAGGTTCAATTATATAATTATGTATAAGATTTTTTTACATGACGACGCAACAACAACCACCGTCATCAGTTCCATCATTTAATTCATTTCCACCTCCTAAGCCATTTGCTGGATTTCGACCACCGAACTGTTGCTCTTTATTGTATCTTCGGATTTCTCTAACAAGGTTATAGAATGCTTCGTCCACATTGATGCGTTGCTTTGCAGATGTTTCAATGAACCGACAATTGAATTGTTTAGCAAGATCTCGTCCCTCTAAATTCATGAAATGAGAAAATATTGAGCTACAATTCGAAAGTTGAAAATTATCAAATTGAAAATTTAACGACTTTACAAACCATGTCCAGAGACTTGTCTTTCCATCTCCAAATCACATTTATTAGCCACCACAATCATAGGGAAATAATCCTTATCTTTAACCCTGAGAATTTGTGTGTGGAAAGTGGAAATCTCATCAAATGAATTGCGAGATGTAATGGAGTACACTAAAAGAAATCCTTCACCGGTACGCATATATTGTCCGCGCATGGCACTAAAATGGAAATAAAAAGCACAATCAACATCTTGAATTAGAAAAAAGCTGAACATAATTTATTTATACCTGTATTCTTCTTGACCCGCTGTATCTAATACGTCTAATAGAGCAACCTCGTCATCAATGACGCATTGCTTACGATAAGAATCTGGATTGATAAATTAAAAAATTAATTATAATCGATTATGAAATTGCATGGTTATAAAGTCATATCTATTATTAAATCAACAAAATAGCCTAAAAAAAAAATAATTATAAATAATGCTCCTGATATCTCAATACAGTATTAGTATTGACCATTTATAGCTTACCCTCAATAGTAGGATCGTATTCGTCGACAAAATGCGATTGTATAAACTGAATTGTAAGGGCAGATTTGCCAACACCTGGTTAAAGCAGGGAAAAGTAAGATAATTAGGTGGATATGTTACGTTAATGTATGAAGATTGGAGAATGGAAATAGCATTATGGAGTTTCCAAGAAACGAGGTTATATTTATAAAGTAAGGTATTGTGCAGTTGTAGAACAAGTTTGACCACTATTCATCTAGTCAACAGATATAAACTTGCGAAAACCATAGACCACCAAAATCTACTGAGATGTGGAAGTACAAAACAAGATCTTAACATACCACCACCACCAACAACGACAAGCTTATATTCCCTTAAGAATTGAGCTTTAGACATTTTTATACGCTCTAATATTTAAAGTGTAAAGAAGTTAGGGATGAATTTTATAAAGAAGGTATTAGTCGAAAGGTAGTAAGAGGGGAAATTGGTAAAGAGCGTGAGAGCAAATGGAAAAGGGATAAAGTTTATATTAATATGATTGCGCAACAAAAACGGGTGGTCAAACCCATAGTCGACCTAGAGGATAATTCTCCGGGCTTCACAAATAGTATACAAGGATCGGCACGAAACATCATAAAAAATTAAAGTTTAAACCCAATTGGATACGTTTATATGTTGATTATCTTAAGTTTAAAACCCTTTCTTTTTAAAATGGCAATCCCCGATAAATTATCTTACAAGGTCAATTCCACATGCATGCATAAAAAATTCTTTGATTATGAAAAATCTAAAAAAAAAAAAATTTTTTTTTTGTTAATTAAAAACTCTTTTTACTAATTACTTTTACCATTCTTCAAAGCAATTTATTTAATATCTTTTCTTTGATTTTCTAGTCAAAAATTAGTATTTAAATTTCTATAGATAAAATTTAATTTAAATACTTTTCTAATTTTTTAGTTTTTTTATTTATTCTAAATTTTTAATTATATTAAATTTATTAAAGTTTTATTTTTAATTTAATTTTTTTTTTTTTTAATCCACAGTCATGTCAATATGGCTTGTCTATTTTATTGTAAACATATTTGATGTTTATATATTTTATGACTTTCACATATTGACTCATCCATCTACAAAATTTAATCTTTTCTAAATGCAACTTAGGGAATGATATTTTGCTTTCTTTATGGTTTGGATTATCCTCTAGCCACTTAGATCATTGCCTACAGCTCATCACTGTAGATCTTCCAAAGTTCTAATTGTGATTAAAAATCAAACCATTTAAAACCTTTGGATATCCAACTATTTATTATATCTACTATATTGCTTTAGGATTTTATTTGTTCTGAGTCTTCTTTTTCTTTTGTTATATTTCTGGAGGAACAAATAGAGAAGTGATTGGCTTCCTTAAAGACTCGATCCATTTTTCTAGTTACATTAGTTGGTACTCTAAGCCTTCTGAGTTTGTTGGTAATTTCGTGATTTTGTTTCTATTTGATAGTAATACTATAGTATTTAATTCAAACTTCTTTCTTAAAGGTCTTCCTCATTTTTTTACAAAATTTATCAATAGTCTTTTGTATTGTTGTTGCTAGGTAAAGTTTGATTTTTAATAGTCAAGTTAGAATAAAGTTTATTGTATATATACTATATACTGTATGTAAATAATTATTTTTGAAAATGACATGAATTTTAAGAATACAATTATAAAATTAGAAAATTTTTTTTTTTTTTTTTTTTAAAACCCATGATTAGGCCAGTACTGTATGTTTATTAATCAATATGAAAACTGATAGAAATACATAGGACAATTGCATCATGGTTAAACTAAAAACTTGTATTGATATACTCATCAATGGCTTTCAATTTTCAAATAAACTTCAGCCTCTAAGTACAATCTTGAGGACAATAATTCATTCTGAAATAAGTTTTGGGTGAAGACCCTCCTAACTTACTCATTATTGCCAGTAGGTTGTCACTACTTATTATCCTTTAAGAAACTGATTTTGAGAAATTACAAAAGAGAAAGGAAAAAAGAAAAGGAAAGGGAATATCCAAAAATGTACAATTGTGCTACATGAAAATGAAAAAATAAAAAGAAAAAATAAAAGTAATCCATGTCCTCCAAAGAATCTCTGCTAGAAATCTCTTCTCATTAGAAATCAATACTTTTGAGATATCCTTCTTTTTCTTGACTATCTGAGGAACTTATTTATCCATGCTCTT